AAATGTTTCTGAAGAGGATAAAATTGTCCTAAATCACTTAAAAACATAAGAACCTAGAGCTAATGGCCAAGGAGCAGTTTTATTACTACATGTTCTGTGTGATTATTTCAGGGCTAAGTGGCCGGGAACCAACAAGCAGTCTGCTGCTACAAATGGTGCCCGATGTGAGACACGAACTCATGACCCTGAGATTAAGAGTTTCACGCTTTGTTGACTGAAACAAATAAGCCACATAAAGATGGAGAATACACATAGAGTCTGAATTATGAACATTATTATGTTTTCTTTTCGTTTTTTGACTGTGCAGAAGCTAAGTACAGAGAGACATTTCATTGTATAAGTTGCTAATCTAAACCAACATATATACCTTGAAGGTATCTTGATTACAAAATATGGATCTAAGGATATGTCGCTTTGGAAAGTAGGTTCTTCTTTTGTTTCCACAGAGGATGAGAACCTGTGGAATCCTTCCAGTCTAGTGTGGTTTGATGGTCCACGATCCTTTCATAGGTTGCCTTGAACACCCCTCAAAAATTACTTTGCCCAATAAAGAGTAGGAAGCAGTTTGGAGGAAAACTATGCCCATATTACCAAATATTGTTTGTAAATATTTCTTTACATTTAAAGGGACACATGCTATAGAGATTTGCATTGGTATAGGTTTTTGTTTATTGATACAAATTTAAGGTCAATTTTGTTATACTGTGTATATAGTTTTGCTCTTGACTAAAGTATTGTGTTTGTGTACCTCACTTTAAAATGTATAATTAAATAGTCATTTATAATAGTCAAGCTTGTAGTCATGTTAGTTAGATTTTCTAGATATACAGAGATGTATTTCAGATGGATAGGGATTCTTCAAATCTTTTAGATACCTTCAGAATATGGCATTGAACGTGTTTAAAAAATTAGGATGTTTCATAGCAGTCAGGCACATCTGTTCCTGGCAGCAGCCAGCTACTTCAAGAGGAAGATGGGCATTGAAGAGGCTCCTTATGGAGTTTGTTAGCCATTTGGGCAAGAAACTACTCTTGCCTAGATTGCTTTATGGCATGCTACGTGAACTGGACATGCAGGATCCACAGAGAAATAACTGCTGGACTTGCCTAAAAGTGAGAAGATCCTTTGAAGTTCCTGCTTCATGAAAGAGTCTACTCGACATTTTGCTGGACACAGAAGAAAGTGACTGACAAACTGCCAATATAAGCAGAATTGTCTTTGATATTTCTTTCTTCATGTAAAGTCTGCTGAATCCTATGGGCCTGTGGGCTGAAGATGGATGCCCTAATGGTACAGAAGAACTTTGGGTGACTGTTTAGGCAGTGAGATGTCTCTCTCAATTCTAGAGCTTTGGGAGTTGCTTACAATGAACAAATTGTTTACTTAGGTAATATTATATCCTTCTGGAGCCTTTGATGGAGTTGAAAAATTTATAGTTATAGTTTTTCTTAGTTATAATAAAAGATAAAGTAGATGTAAATATTGTAACTGTAATTCTTGCTTGATATATATTTTGTTATATGTAATTTTACTACGTTAAAGTTAAAACTTTTCTTTTTGTTTAAACAGAAAAGGGGGGGGTGTGATGTTGGATTTCTCTCTGTATGCTGCAATTACCATTAATGAATAAAGAAAATACTTTGGGCCTCTAGCAGAACTATAAGGGAACGGAGCTAGGTGGGGAAAACTAAGCTGAATGCTGGGAAAAAGGAGGTGGGGTCAGGGAGAAGCCATGAAGCTGCCACTTGAAACAGACATACTGAAACTTTGCTGATAATCCAAGACCTCAGGGTGAGTACAGATTAATGGAGATGGCTTAAATTAATATGTAAGAGCAAATAAGAAGCTAGAGCTAATGGGCTAAGTAGTGTTTAATTAATGCAGTTTCTGTGTGATTATTTTGGGGCTAAGTGGCTGGGAACCAACAAGCCGCCTGCTGCTACATTCTAAAGTTCTGAAAGTCATTTTGGGAGAGATATCTTTTCATTCTTTCTTCACATCTGGGAATCAGGAATCTCTCCATTTACTGAAAATAGAAACACAAAGTGCTCTGTGGGACATGTTTAATGTAAATATCTCATACAAATGTTACTATATTTTTTAAATGTATATCCAGATTTAACAGTTAAATTCAGTTATTGCTTTCAGAACAAATAGCTTTGACACATTTTCCCAGGTTGTTCAATCAGATTTTCCTTTCCCTAAGGCAACTTTTGGAATAGAGAAAGAAGTTCAGCCTGTCTTCATTTATCCTATTAGAATGTCAAGGTCTCTAACCACATTGGTGTAGGGCATATTGTTTTGGAACTCTGCAATACTGCAGTTTTTCTTCCTGCTCATAATTCTTATAATGTGTTTATGTTGCCCCTAGATAATAATTTCTCATCATTTTCTATTTTAGTAAGTGCATTTTGGTGTTTTTTTAATATACCACAGGGTTAGATCTCCCAATTACCAGTGACTGTTTTGATATCACACATCATATCCTAAGTGTATAAAGTTTTTCAGAATCTATTTCAGCCTAAAAGACCCAATAGGCTCATATTAAATTATGATTCTTCTACAACATTCCTGCTATATATGAACCTCTCTCTCTCTCTCTCTCTCTCTCTCTCACTTGCTCTGTGTGTGTATGTGTGTGTGTGTGTGTGTGTATAAAATTTCACCTATACCTGTCCCATCTCTCTGTCCTATAATCTCTCTCTCCCTCTCTCTGTATGTACACTCTCTTTCTTTCTTTGCTCCCTCTTTTCCTACTCCCTACTATTATTTCTTTTCCAAAAATAGTAAATGAAAGTATAACAGAAGCTAAATTTTACTAAATGTGGCATCAAGAATGCAGAGGCCAAGAAAGGAACTCTCAGAAGTACGGTGGAGGCTGGGAGATAGCTTATCACTTAAGAGTGATTGGTAATCTTCCGGAAGTCCTGAGTTTAATACCACTACCCACAATGGGTGACTCATACTGACTGCAATCCACTTCCAAGGGATTCAATATCAGTTTCGGGATTCTGTGAGTCCATACACACATGTGGCAGATATACAGACATGCATCTACACTCATAAATAAAACTTAAATAAATCTTTAAAAAACAGAAAATCACAGAAGTATGAATGAATGCTTTTTTTGTAGATTTTCCTTTGATGCCACAACAATCTAGCCATCTACTTTCCAACTTTAATTATTAGTGGTTTATTTCTCTGTATAAATGAGATAATGAGATTGAGTATTGAAGGAGATAAATTTAATTGACATTGCAATAAACATCCACCTAAAGTAAGCTTTTACAAAACGACACTACTGTTAGAAATTTTAACTACATTGAAAGTGAATATAAATTGTTACCTTTCGTAACATTTTGTTAGACTTAGCTCCTTTGAGGATCCCCCTTCAATCAGTATTAAGCCAAAGATTCTTTGAAAAGACAAGAAGATTAACAATTATATTTTGTGATTTCCCAATGTCCTTTAACATTTCTCCTGTGGACTAGTTGATGTCAGTGAACACTTCAGGGTAAATTCACAAATGTGTTATGAGTATAGAGCATAGCAGATATTTTTCAGGTAAAATAGTTTCAGTTTAGCAGATGGATTCTTTTGTGTTAGGATATACATCTTATCACTGATAGTCCAACACATTCGCAGGCACTATGATTATATACTTCCCAGTTGTTTATTATTGTCTCAAATAATATTTAAAAACCTGAGAAATTCACATCAGTATGCTATAAATCACAAAACAACAACAACTTTGTGCCCACATGAAAGATTTTGTCACACAAAATGTGTACTATAAACAGTGGAATGTTCCAAGATAGAATATTTGTGACACAAACTTCTGTTGTGCCATATACTTGACCATTTCTCTCTTTTTTTAATTGATTTTTGTGAGCTCTACTTTTTCTCTGCTCCCTTCCCTGCTTCTACACTCCCCTTCAACTCTTCCCCAATGTTCCCATGCTCCTAATTTACTCAGGAGATCTTGTCTTTTTCTATTTCCCATGTAGATTAGATCCTCTTAGGGTCCTCATTGTTGTCTATATTCTCTGGCATTTTGATTTATGGGCTGGTTTTCCTTGCTTTATGTTTAAACACCACTTATGAGTGAGTACATGTGATAATCGTCTTTCTGGGTCTGGGTAATGTCACTCAAAATGATGTTTTCCAGCTCCATCCATTTTCCTGCAAAATTCAAGATGTTGTTTTTTTCTGCTGTGTTGTACTCCATTGTGTAAATGTGCCACATTTTTCTTATCCATTCTTCAGTCAAGAGTCATTTAGGTTGTTTCCAGGTTCTGGCTATGACAAACAATGCTGCTATGAACATAGTTGAGCACATGTCCTTGTGGCACGATTGAGCATCCTTTGGATATATACCCAAATGTAGTATTACTGGGTCCTGAGGAAGGTTGTTTCCTAATTTTCTGAGAAATTGCCACACTGTCATTCAAAGGGGCTGTACCAGCTTGCATTCCCACCAGCAATGCAGAAGTGTTCCCTTTACCCTACCACCTCTCCAGCTTGATCATCTCTTGATGAGGAGCTCAGCTACTGAGCAGCAGGACAAATTTGCTCATTTCTATGTATTTTTATTTGATCTAAATATGTTAGCATTATTTCCTTTAGTGTTACTATCTCACTAGATTAGACACCGTAATATTTAGCTATGTATAGATGCATACCAAATAAAAAATATTTTTATTAATTATTATATCAATTACATTATTATATTAAAACTACATTAAAATTTATTATGCATCTTATTTAAATAAGCCTTAGGATATTAAGGATTTATATAGAATGTCTAATTATATTTTCTTTATAATTATTTAATTATAGTCATCATTTAACTTTTATTATCTACATAGTATTTTTTTTTCTGTTTCCCACTTTAGTAGCCAGATGACAACTGACTGCTTTTTAAATAATCAAATGTTATATTTCATTGTGTCATCACATGGCAATTTTTTACATACATCTGATCTGTAAAAATGAATTACCTGTGAATTTAGTTTGCCTGGATCAACTGAACTCCATACACAGTAGGTCCAAGAACTTTGTTCCAGCTGCAGTTGTTAGAATCTAAAAAACATGACTGAATTGATTATGTATGTTTTATTCATATTAGTATGATACTATTTCTTTTAAGTCATCCTCATCAACTTGTTGGGGACCCTTCCCCAACCTCCTCGGTTATGGATGACCCTGGGTAGTGCTGCAGAAATCAGGACACAGGGGATGCAGATTAGGAGATACAACTGCATCCTTTATTGCAAAGCCAGTGTTCTTTTTATAATACTCAGATCACTATTCAAACTAGGTTCCCATAATACATGAAAATAGTTTCATAGACTAGTCTCTTGGTTGCGACTAATTTCAAGGGTTTCATGCCCTAACTAATCTAAACAAAAAGCGTGGTGTTGTGGAAAAAAACTCTTGTTGTAATATAATATGTAAAAACACCTCATCAGAAGACAAACCACAACCTAATCAGAGCCTTTGAACTACAGGGCACATCTGTGTTCTCAAGGCCTGACCATTGTCAAGGCACTCTACTAATGGGAGAGGTTTGCCTCCTCCCAACTTGCTTTGCCATGCCTGTCACCAAGAATGCTACTTCAAGTCTCCCTTACACAGAGTTTCTATGCAGTTCAAACCAGCCCTCTACATCAACTTAGATCATAAAACCCTATATGGACAAATTCAACAGAACTGCCATATATGCCCATGCATGCTTCAACATTGCCGGGGCATAAATTTCAAATTCGTTTAGTATGATACTTATATCATTAAATTACATCATAGTTGTCCTTGGTTGTTTTAGACCTTAGTTTAATCGTCTTTGCACATGGATTGTGGTTTGGGAAGTGAATATTTACTCTTCAAGGAAAAGAAAAGAGACAAAATTCATGCTTTATCAGTCTCAATATTTTAGATATGAATAGTACTCTAGAGAAAGTAACTTTATGATATTTTATTATAATTGTGTTAATTTGAAAATTTAAATTAACGAGCAAGAATTGAATCAATTCAACATAAATAACATGACTTTTCTCTCTCCTTTCAACAGCTTTCTACTAAGAATTCAGGAAAGATAGACTTTTACTTGGGCAAAAAATTTCCTTCCTCAGAATGAAGCTGAAATGACAATTATAGTGGGAATTCAACTACTTTTGGTTATATTACAGAAAACTTGCCTTATGCACACTAAGTTGATATTTATCTGGTCACTTTTCTCCATTGGATATGCTATGCTAAAAAAAAAGTTCATTTTATGAGTGGAACTGGTTCTGCAGCATTTGTATTTATCAGATTTGCTAAAACACTGCTTATTTTTGTTCTGATGTTTCATCTAATGCATGTGAAATATTGTTGGCTTGAGAAACAATGAAAAGCCCACATCGCACTGTAGAATCTTGCTGCCTGGAGAGTGGCTAACAATGGATAAAACATACATTCTTGGCATCCTTTGAGAAGAAGCTTGGAGAATTATGGCAGCATTACTTATGCCAAGCTTCAATGAAACTACAGAGTAAACTGTGATTCTTTTTTTCACAGACTTTTTGTGTCTAAGAGCATTGTTTTTTATTAAGGCAGCAATGCTTTCTATGCTGGTATTTGCTTGATGCTTGACAATGAGACAATAGAGTATGGAAAAGCCAGTACAGTTTCATAGGAGCCATAGAGCCTGCTTGACAAACAAAGAAAAATACACCCAATCCAGAAAATTGTTAACTGGAAGTGAAGCCTCCTAAAGAAATCAAAACATTCTTGCATAGCATGCTTTTCTCATTTTTTTTCCCATTGCATATCTTTAAACCTTCTCAGCATGTGCTTTATGTTGAAGAGTCAGCTAAACACATCTTTCAGTTGTGACACAGTTTTACTGTTTACTATCAGAACAGCATTTATTCTGGTCAGCAGCCTTCCTTGCCTTGGGTATAGAAGGAAATTAGGAGATATAGCACAGATCAACAAGATAGGAGGGAATAAAAATACTTATTTCTTTTTGTTTTCCAAGAAGAATATCATGATTATGTATGTATATGAATAAAATCTTTGTGGAGAAGATATTATGTGGGAAATAAAAACAGAAATTTTTGTGGTAAGGGGCAATTTTTACTATTAAAGTTTAGAAAACTGATAGTTGGTCCTGAAAAATAAATTATATTTAATGTTATAGTATGGGCAGTTTGCCAAGGATAGCCAAAACAATCCTGTACAATAAAAAAACTTATGGAGGCATCTCAATCCCTGACTTCAAACTCTATTACAGAGCTACAGTACTGAAAAAAGCCTGTTATTGGCATAAAAACAGAGAGAAGGACCAGTGGAACTGAATCAACACCTGATTTGTGACAAAGAAGCAAAAAATATCAAATGGAAAAGAGAAATCATATTTAACAAATGGTTGTAGCTTAACTGGATATCAAAATGTAGAAGAATGAAAATAGATCCACATCTATCACCATGGAAAAAAAAAAACCTCAAGTTCAAATGGATCAAAGACCTCCACATAAAGCCAGCCACACTGAACCTCATAGAAGAGAAAGTGGGAAGTACACTTGGACAAATCGACACAGGGAACCACTTCCTAAATATAACCCCAGCAGCACAGACACCAAGAGAAACAATTAATAAATTGGACCTCCTGCAACGGAAAAGCTTCTGTAAAGCAAAGGACATGGCCAACAAGACAAAACGACAGCTTACAGAATGGGAAAAGATCTTCACTAACCCCACATCAGACAGAGGTCTGATCTCCAAAATACACAAAGAACTCAGAAATTGGTCATCAAAAGAACAAATAATTCAATACAAAAAAAAATGGAGTACAGACCTAAACAGCAAACTCTCAACAGAGGAATCTAAAATGGCTGAAAAACATTTAAGGAAATGCTCAACACCAATTGTCATCAGAGAAATGAAAATCAAAACAACTCTGAGATTCCATCTTACCCAAGATCAAAAACACTGATGACAACTTATGCTGGAAAGGTTGTGGGGAAAGGGAAATACTCCTGCACTGCTGGTGGGAGTGCAAGCTGGTACAACCCCTTTGGATGTGAGTGTGGTAATTTCTCAGAAAATTAGGAAACAACCTTCCTCAAGATCCAGCAATACCACTTTTGGGTATATATCCAAAGGATGCTCAATCATGCCACAAGGACATGTGCTCAACTATGTTCATAGCAGCATTGTTTGTCAGAGCCAGAACCTGGAAACAACCTAAAAGCCCTTCAACCAAATAATAAATAGGGAAAATGTGGTGCATTTGTACAATGGAGCACAACACAGCAGAAAAAAATAATATCTTGAATTTTGCAGGCAAATGAATGGGGCTAGAAAACATCACTTTGAGTGAGGTAACCTAGATACAGAAAGACAATTATCACATGTACTTACTTCTAAGTGGTTTTTAAAAATAACAAACTAAGAATAAAAGTGTTTTAGAACCCTTAATGTCTTTAGGAGGGACCCAAACGGACCATCAAACGGGGAGAATCGTCATCCAGGCCAGCACCACTATAAAAAGCAGTCAAACATAGAGTCATAGCTTCGTCTGTTGAAGATAATAAAAAAAAATTATATAACAGATGTTATAATAAAAATTTTATACAATTTTTAAAAACCAGGATTGATTTGTGATCATCTTAATTACATAATCATAATAAATCTCATCATAACCTCAGTTAATACGTTTTTAAACATCAAAAGGGGCCGATTTCAAGGTGGAAAAGCTCTGAACCCAGCATTATATTGAATTCTAAGTGCCAATTCTACCAATTTTTATTGATTTTTACAAGTAGAGAAGGAAAATTGGAAGGTTCGTATTAAACCCACAAAACAAGTCCAAATGTTGAAAATAACATTGTCAAAGAAAAACAAAGCTGGAAGCAAGCAAAAAAATAAAAATTAAAAAAAAATAATAATAATAAAAATAAAAAATAAGAAAAATTAAAAAAATAAAAATAAAAAAATAAGAAAAATTAAAAATAAAACTAAATAAAAATTTTTAAAAAAACAAGTTAAAAAAATTAAGAAAAATAATAAAAATTAAAAAAATAAAAATATATAAAAAATTAAAAAAAAAACAAACCAGTCTGCTTCCTGTTTATCTTCAGAATGGATCGAGGCTATATTTTTTTTGGAGAACGATGATCGAATGGCATAAAATCAGTATATCCTGGGCTGGGGAGGCGGCTCAGCGATTGATAAATATAAAAATTAGAATATTGTGTACATAATAGATAAATATAAAATTAGAATATTATATACATAATAGATAAATATAAAAATTAGAGTATTGTATGCATAATAAATAAATATAAAAATTAGAATATTGTGTACATAATAGATAAATATAAAATTAGAATATTGTATACATAATAAATAAATATAAAATTAGAATATGCTACACATAATAAATATAAAAATTAGAATACTGTACACATAGTAAATAAATATAAAAATTGGAATATTGTACACATAATAAATAAATGTGAAATTAGAATATGGTGTACATAATAAATAAATAGATGTAAAAATTAGAATATTGTATACATAATAAAGGTGAAATTAGAATATGGTATACATAATAAATAAAAAATAAATAAATATTTAAGAACCGGTAACCCTGTACTCCTAGCATTTGAAAGGCTACGGCAGGAGGACCGCCATGAGTTCAAGGCCGACCTGAGATTCATATTCAGAATGGGAGCTGGTCAACTGTTTGAATTTGAGTTAAAATAAAAAAATGAAATGTGTAATCATCGTCCTAATTAAGTCCATGGTTAAAACAGAAATCACCAAAATAAAATAATTATAATTAATAATAAAAAATAATTGTTATTAAAATTTAATTTATAATAATAGAAGGCAAAAAATTATAATTAATAAAAAATAATTGTTATTTAAATTAAATTTATAATAATGATAATGATAATAATGGCACTATTGCATAAAAATGAAATGTGTAATCATCGTCCTAATTAAGTCCATAGTTAAAACAGAAATCACCAAAATAAAATAATTATAATAAATAAAAAAATGTTATTTAAATTTATAATAATAATAATAATAGAAGGCACTTTTGCATAAAATGAAATGTGTAATCATCGTCCTAATTAAGTCCATAGTAAAAACAGAAATCACCAAAATAAAATAATTATAATTAATAATAAAAAAATAATTGTTATAAAATTTAAATTTATAATAATAATAATAATAGAAGGCACTTTTGCATAAAAATGAAATGTGTAATCATCGTCCTAATAAAGTCCATAGTAAAAACAGAAATCACCCAATTAAAATAATTATAATTAATAATAAAAATAATTATGTTATTAAAATTAATTTAATAATAATAATAATAGAAGGCACTATTGCATGAAAATGAAATGTGTAATCATCATCCTAATTAAGTCCATAGTTAACATGGAAATCACCAAAATAAAATAATTATTATTAATTATAAAAAATAATAATTATGTTATTAAAATTTAATTTATAGTAATAATAGAAGGCACTATTGCATAAAAATGAAATGTGTAATCATCATCCTAATTAAGTCCGTAGTTAAAGCCGAAATCACCAAAATAAAATAATTATGATTAATAATAAAAAATAATTATGTTATAAAAATTAAATTTATAATAATAATAATAGAAGGCACTTTTGCATAAAAATGAAATGTGTAATCATCGTCCTAATGAAGTCCATAGTAAAAACAGAAATCACCAAAATAAAATAATTATAATTAATAATAAAAAAATAATTGTTATAAAAATTAAATTTATAATAATAATAATAATAATAATAATAGAAGGCACTTTTGCATAAAAATGAAATGTGTAATCATCGTCCTAATGAAGTCCATAGTAAAAACAGAAATCACCAAAATGAAATAATTATAATTAATAATAAAAAAATAATAATGTTATAAAAATTAAATTTATAATAATAATAATAGAAGGCATTTTTAAGTCCATAGTTAAAACAGAAATCACCAAAATAAAATAATTATAATTAATAATAAAAAATAATTATGTTATAAAACAGAAATCACCAATAGGCTCTGGGGTTCTGGGTTCCATTTCCTGGCAAGGGAAAACACAAGGGGGGGGGAGCTTCCAACCGGATCAGACCGGTTTCAAACCGGATCAAACCCGTGTAGACAGGTTCAAAACCGGATCCAACTGGATCAGACTGGTTCAAAACTTAATCAAACTGGATCAAACCAGTGTACACAGGTTCTAAACCGGATCCAACTGGATCAGACAAGATCAAACTGGATCAAACCAGTGTAGACAGGTTCTAAACCGGATCCAACTGGATCAGACCAGAACAGACCAGATGAAACTGGATCAAACCAGGGCAGACAGTTCTAAACCGCATCCAACCGGATCAGACCAGATCAAACTGGTTCAAACCGGATCAAACCAGTGTAGACAGGTTCAAAAACCGGATCCAACTGGATGAAAACGGTTCAGGCTGGACCTAACCAGTGTAGACAGTTTCTACACCGGATCCAACCGGATCAGAGCAGTTCAAACTGGATCAGACCGGATCAGACCAGATGAAACTGGACCAAACCAGGGTAGACAGGTTCTAAACCGGATCCAACCGGATCAGACCGGGTCAAACTGGTTCAAACTGGATCAAACCAGAGTAGACAGGTTCAAAAACTGGATCAAACTGGATGAAAACTGGTTCATACTGGATCTAACCAGGGTAGACAGGTTCTAAACCGGGTCCAACTGGATCAGAGAAGATCAAACTGGATCAGACTGGATGATACTGGATCAGACCAGGGTACACAGGTTCTAAACCGGATCCAACTGGATCAGACCTGATGAAACTGGACCAAACCAGGGTAGACAGGTTCTGAACCAATAATCAATAAACATGAGCCGATTGGAATATCGTGTGTGCATGATTAATAAACATGAGCGCATTAGCATATCGCGTGTGCATAATGAATAAACATGAGCGCGTTAGGATATCGTGTGTGCATGATGAATAAACATGAGCAAATTAGGATAGCGTGTGTGCATCATTAATAAACATGAGCAAATTAGGATATCGCGTGAATGATTAATAAACATGAGCACATTAGGATATCGCACGTGCATCATTAATAAACATGAGCGCATTAGAAGATAGTGTGTGTGATTAATAAACATGAGTGCATTCGAATATAGTGTGTGTGATTAATAAACATGAATAAATTAGAATGTCGCGTGCGCATGATTAATAACCATGAGCAAATGAGAGTATCGTGTGCATAATGAATAAACATGAGCACGTTAGAATATCGTGTGTGCATGATGAATAAACATGAGTCGATTAGGATATCGCGTGTGCATAATGAATAAACATGAGCGCGTTAGAGTACCCTGTGTGCATAATTAATGAACACGAGCACATTAGAATATCGCGTGCATGACTAATAAACATGAATAAATTCGGATACTGCAGACATAATTAATAAACTTGAATAAATTAGAATATCATGTGTGCGTGATGAATAAGCATGAATAAATTAGAATATTGCGCTGCATAATTAATAAATGTTAAATCACAATAGTGTGTGCATAACAAATAAGCATGAATAAATTAGGTAATCACGTGCATAATCATTAAATGCAAATGAATAAATATATTATATTATTGTGTGCATAATTAATGGGCGTAATATCAGAATGTAGTTCGCATGATTAGTAAATGAATATAAAATTAGAATATTGTGTCCATGATAAGTAAATTTAAAATTACAATTTTGTGGGCATGTTTAATGAATACAAAAATTACCATACTGCATACATAATAAAAAACATAAAACTAGACGACTGCATGCATAATTAATACACATGAGTAAATTAGAATATCGCGTGTGCATAATTAATAAACGTGAGTTGGAATATCGCGTGCATAATTAATAAATGTGAAATCGGAATACGGCACGCATAATAAATAAACATGAATAAATTAGGACATCGTGTGTACATAATTAATAAACACGAATCAATTAGGATATTGTCTGCATAATTAATAAACATGAATAAATTAGGACATCATGTCTGCATAATTAATAAACACGAATAAATTAGGACATCGTGTGCATGATAAAATATAAAATTCGAATGCGTGCGTGATGAATATGAAATTTGAATATTACATGCATAATTAATGAATATAAAAATGAGGATATTGCGTGCATGATAAATAGATGTAAAATCAGAATACTGCATAATAATAAATAGATATAAAATCAGAATATTGTGTGCATAAAAAATAAAAATGAAATTAGAATATTGTGTGCATAATGATAAATATAAAAATCAGAGTATTGCATACATAATAAATAAATATAAAATTAGAATAGTGCATGCATGATAAATATAAAATTAGAATATTGCACCCATAATAAATAAACATAAAAATTAGAATGCTGCATGCTTAATTAATAAATATAAAATTTGAATGTCGCATGAATAACAAATAAGCATAAAATAAGAAGGTTGCATGCATGATAAATAGATGTAAAATTAGAATATTGCGTGCATGATAAATGAATATAAAATTAGAATACTGCACACATAATAAATAAATATAAAAATTGGAACATTGCATGCATAATAAATAAATGTCAAAATTAGAATATTGCGCACATAATAAAAATAAAATTAGAATATTGTACACATAATGAATATAAAATTAGTATACCGCATGCATAATTAATGTATATAATATCAGAATGCTGCACGCATAATGAATATAAAATTAGAATATTGCATGCATAATTAATGAATATAGTGTTAGAATGCTGCATGCATAATGAATATAAAATTAGACTATCGCACGTATAGCGAATATAACATTAGAATGCCGCATGCGTAATTAATGAATATAACATTAGAATGCCGCATGCATAATTAATCCGTACAGCAGTGTGTGTTGACCGACCCCCCGACCCCCAACCCCCCCGACCCCCCCGACCCCCGACCCCTGACCCCCCGACCCTCCCCGACTCCCCGACCCCACCGACCCCCCGACCCCACCGACCCACCGACCCTCCCGACCCCCGACCCCCGGACCCCCCGACCCCCTCACCTGGGCAGCACGGCCGCTCCTCGCAGGCCTCCCGCTGCCAGTCCCGGGTTCGAGGCTCCGCGCCATCCTCGCCGTCCCCACAGCGCCCGCCCCCCGCCCGCCCCACGCAGCGCCGGCCGGTGCCGCAGCCGCGAACCCTCGGAGCAGGAGACGGAGCAGGGGGACCACGGCGACCACGGCGACCAGCGCGGGGACCTGCGGGGACAACGGGGACGGCGGGGGAAATGAATAAAAAATACATAAAATATAAAATATAAATCAACTAAAACATGAATTAAAAATAAATTAATTAATAAATGAAAATAAATTAAAAATAAAACGAATAAAATAATCGACTAATGAAAATGAATTAAAAATAAAACGAATAAATGAAAATAAATTAAAAATAAAACGAATAAAATAATCGACTAATGAAAATAAATTAAAAATAAAACGAATGAAATAATGGACTCATGAAAATGAATTAAAAATAAAACGAATAAATTAATCGACTCATGAAAATAAATTAAAAATAAAACGAATAAATTAATTAATGAATGAAATTGAATTAAAAATAAAACGAATAAATTAATCGACTCATGAAAATAAATTAAAAATAAAACGAATAAATTAATTAATGAATGAAATTGAATTAAAAATAAAACGAATGAAATAATCGACTCATGAAAATAAATTAAAAATAAAACGAATAAATGAAAATGAATTAAAAATAAAACGAATGAATTAATTGATTCATGAAAATGAATTAAAAATAAAACGAATAAATTAATTAATGAAAATGAATTAAAAATAAAACGAAAAAAATAATCGACTCATGAAAATAAATTAAAAATAAAACGAATAAATGAAAATGAATTAAAAATAAAACAAATAAATTAATCGACTAATGAAAATGAATTAAAAATAAAACGAATAAATTAATTAATGAAAATGAATTAAAAATCAAACGAATAAAATAATCGACTCATGAAAATAAATTAAAAATAAAAGGAACAAATGAATTAGTTAATTAATTAAGAATACATTAATAAATAAAAAATAAATGAATAAATGGCAAACAAAAATAAAGAATAAATCAATTAAACATGAATTGAAAATTAATTAAAAATAAAAATGAAATAAAAAAGAAGCAAAGCTCTCGGGAGGCGGCGGCGGGGGGAGGAGACGGAAAAAAACGTTCATAACTAAACGAAAAGTAAATAAATTAAGACATAAAGAAAGGAAGAATAAATTAATTAATAAATTAAAATAAATTTAAAAATAGAATAAATAAATTAAAATGAATAAAAATTAACTAAAAATAAATTAGTTAATAAACTAAAATAAATTTTAAAATAGAATAAATAAATAAATTAAAAATAAATAAAAAATAAATTAAAAAATAAAAATAAGAAGAGCGAAGCCTTCGGGAAGAGGCAGAAATCTTCCATAAATAAATAAAAAATAAATGAATTAAAAATAAAGAAATAAAAGATAAATTCATAAATACATTAAAATAAATTTAAAAACAAAATAAATTAATTAATGAAAAATAAATATTAAAATAAATTCATTAATAAATTAAAATAAATTTAAAAACAAAATAAATTGATTAATTAAAAATAAATATTAAAAATAAATTCATTAATTAATTAAAATAAAAAATAAACTAAAACACAAAAATGAAAATAAAATCTGAATTTCATTTCCCCCTCTGACCGGGAACCGCGAGGTCGCGACCCTGACAGCTGCGGGCCGGGAAGTGCTGAGTCCGCGGGAGCTCAGTACCCCCTAGAGCACGGGGGGGGGGGGGGGGGGGGGGGGGGGGGGGGGGACTCAGCGCAGCACCCGGGAGGACTCAGCCCAGCACCCGGGGGACTCAGCGCCCAGCACCCGGGGAGAACTCAGCTCCCAGCACCCAGGGGGACTCAGCTCCCAGCACCCAGGGAGGACTCAGCTCCCAGCACCCGGGAAGGACTCAGCACCCAGCACCCGGGGAGAACTCAGCACAGCACCCGGGAGGACTCAGCTCCCAGCACCCAGGGGGACTCAGCTCCCAGCACCCAGGGAGGACTCAGCCCAGCACCCGGGAGTACTCAGCCCACCACCTGCGGACTCAGCACAGCACCCGGGAAGACTCAGCGCAGTACCCGGGAGGACTCAGCACAGCACCCGGGGAGGACTCAGCCCAGCACCCGGGGAGAACTCAGCCCAGCACCCGGGGAGGACTCGGCGCCCAGCACCCAGGGAGAAATCAGCCGAGCACCCGGGGAGGACTCAGCGCAGCACCCGGGGAGGACTCAGTTCCCAGCACCCGGGAGGACTCAGCACCCAGCACCCAGGGAGGACTCAGCCCAGCACCCGGGGAGGACTCAGCACAGCACCCAGGGAGAACCCAGCTCCCAGCACCCAGGGAGGACTCAGCCCAGCACCCAGGGAGGACTCAGCACAGCACCCGGGGGTAACTCAGCTCCCAGCACCCAGGGAGGACTCAGCACCCAGCACCCAGGGAGTACTCAGCACCCAGCACCCAGGGAGTACTCAGTCCAGCACCCAGGGAGGACTCAGCACCCAGCACCCAGGGAGTACTCAGCGCCCAGCACCCAAGGAGTACTCAGTCCAGCACCCAGGGAGGACTCAGTGCCCAGCACCCAACGGGGAGTACTCAGCCCAGCACCTACCCGCAGGCCAGGCAGGGGCCCCCCTCGCGCTCCCGGAAGCCGTAGGTGGCATTGAGGCAGCAGGCGTCCTCGCTGACCCCGCCCCCGATCAGCCCCGCGCAGGCGCCCGTCGCCTCCTCGTAGCGGGCGAAGCAGAGCACGGGGTCCGCACCTGTGGAACGGGGGGTGGGGGGTCAGTCAGGGTGCTGTGCTGAGTCCTACCGGGGGCCGGGGGCTGCGCTGAGTCCTCCTGGGTGCTGTGCTGAGTGCTACGGTGTGCTGGGTGCTGTGCTCAGTCCCCCCTGGGTGCTGTGGTAAGTCCCCCTGGGTGCTGTGCTGAGTCCCCCTGGGTGCTGTGCTCAGTCCCCCTGGGTGCTGTGCTCAGTCCCCCCCCTCCCCTGGGTGCTGTGCTGAGTCCCCCTGGGTGCTGTGCTCAGTCCCCCCCTCCCCTGGGTGCTGTGCTGAGTCCCCCTGGGTGCTGTGCTGAGTCCCCCTGGGTGCTGTGCTGAGTCCCCCCTCCCCTGGGTGCTGTGCTGAGTCCCCTGGGTGCTGTGCTGAGTCCCCCTTGGTGCTGTGCTCAGTCCCCCTGGGTGCTGTGCTCAGTCCCCCTTGGTGCTGTGCTCAGTCCCCTGGGTGCTGTGCTGAGTCCCCCCCTCCCCTGGGTGCTGTGCTCAGTCCTCCCCTCCCCCGCTTACCCGCGGCCGGCAGCAGCAGCAGCAGGAGCAGCGACCCCGGGGTCGGCATCGCGGCGGGTGGGTGCTGTGCTGAGTCCTCCTCCTCCGTGCCGCCGGGGTGCTGTGCCGAGTCCTCCTCCGTGCCGCCGGGGTGCTGTGCTGAGTCCTCCCGAGTGCTTTGTCCGCGGGAAAGAGGAACCCGCGGCGGGCGGAAGTGGGCGCGGCCCGGGGAGGGGGCGACTTCCGGTGTGACCCCCGGTGACCCCGCTGTGACCCCCGGTGACCCCGCTGTGACCCCCGCGCGGAGTTTTGGATTTATTTATTTATTATATTTATTGTATTTATTTATTATGATTTATTTATCAATTATATATTATTTCTATTTATTCTATGTATTTATCGTGCTTACACGTTGAAAGACCCCAGTGCTGGGCAGTCTTTCAGGCTGAGGAGACCCTCCCAAGGAACAGCGAGTCACTCTTCGGATGCAAATAGCAAGAGGCTTTATTTAATACACAGGTACCTGGGGCGGCTTAGTCTCTCGGAAGACAAGCGCGCGCCTGCAGACTGGGGGAAGGTCTTTTTATAGGAAAGAGGGCAGCGGAAGCAGATTACAGAAGCAAATGCATCGTTAGTGGTCAGTTGGAATGGGGCAAGGGGCACAGGTGGTTTTTCCTCTCCCAGCACAGATGTATGGGAACAGACATCCTGTTAATTGATGTCCTGTCCTAATCTATGGATATAAAGATCCTGTTTTGCAGCCAGGGACCCTGACCTTACTCTGCACTTACAGTCGTTCGTCAAAAGCTTTGTGAAATGACGTTACAGCAGATAAGCTGGGATCTTTCATAGGGGGAGTTGTCTTCTTCTGTGAATTACTGACATTCTAAGTTGGGCACATGTGCTGACTATGCAAACGGGAGGTTCTCATTAGAGCAGGCCAGCTGCGGGTTCCTTATCGCTTGGGGCCAGGTGGCTGACCGGCTGACCGCAGATATCTCGCCTGGCTTCTCCGCCCTTGTTTTCAAGTCGAACTTCCCTGCTCTAATTACTTGCGTTGCTCCAAAGTTTAAGCCTTGCAAAATGGCATTACTGCTGCTTAGTGAGTGGGGGTCTTTCATTCCCCCCTTTTTTTTTTTTGGATTTAATCATAAATTTATGTGTTCAAAGACCTTTACGTCATTCTGCTTTAATATCTGATATTGCTGGGAGAGTACCATGGTTTGGATAACTGAAAGTCTGTTTGCAGAATAGCTCTTAGCAAAACTATCTGAATGAGGCTTGAAAGTAACTACATGGTAGACATTGTGAACCACTGTAGACCCGAGAATAGCACCCAACATTGTGGCAATAATAGTCTATTGACTACAAAGAGCTTAACTCAGCCCTAAGAAACACATGGATGCCTTCTCCTAAGAGGCAAGTTTAGTATTATGAAGACAAATCTCTTTTGCTGTAGACACCGGGAGTGTTGTTCCTCAGCTCCAGAGAATGTGCCGGAGAAGTCAGTTTCGGTCCAGCTGGCACCACATGGCATTTACGAGTTTCCATTGCATCCCGTAGCATCAGCTTTATCCAAATGTACAGGGTTGTGTCCATTGTGAGAACTTTAACAAACAATGAGAGAAAATGCAATACAGGATGACAAATGTTTAAAACAAAACAGAAAGCCCTAAAGCCAGAGGACAGCCAATGAGGACATAAATATCTTTCAGTATTTGCAGGTATGAGAAACCAAAGCAAATACAGTTCGCACCCCCTCTGGCCTTCTATAACTTCCTACACACCCTCAGGTCAGACTTTTCCTGTCACCCTCTGCTCCTCTGGCCCAGCCAGACATTTACTTTAGACGACTCCTCTTTCCCTTCCCTTCTCTTTATTATTCCAGTCTCCTGCCTTCTCCTGCTTTCCACACAACACGAAAACTTTACCCAGGCTTCACATTTGTAGTCAAATTTCCAACACATAAGTACAGCATTAAAAAGTTTTAACATCCCATTGATATCTATTTTATCATTAAAACAAGATTTTCCTGTAGAAAAACAAAACCTGTCAAGAGGTAAGGAGGCTTTAGGTGTGTTTGCTTCTCTCTGCAGTTATCTGCACAAAACGGTCTGATCTGGAAAAGTCTCAAACTGTACTAAATAATTCCTGTCAATAGGTCCCAGACACACAAAGGAGGAACAGAACAGAATTGTCTTTTGCTTCTGCTGTCTGATATTATGCTTCAAAAGACATTAAAAATGAGCAGAGCCCTGTGGGTTTCTGACTTTAGGAAAGAAGAGCCTTAAAGGTGATGTAAGCCCATCTTACAGCAGATGTGCCTGCCCTGTGCAAGCCTTGAGCTCAGGATTCCATCATCAAGGTCAACCATTGTCAGCAGATACATGAGCAGCAGCTAACTAGCCAGGCAACAGAGCTAGTGGCAACGATGCCGGGGTGTTTTGAACCCAGAACAGGACAGGAGGGAGGGAGGTCTGTCCAGTCATTTTTGCTGGTCTCCAGGGCCAATTATATCAATTTGTTTTTTTAGAATCTTACTTATCCTATTTATCTGACCTGAGCTTTGAGGTTGGTAAGCTTAAGTTCCAATTGATCCCCAATGTCTTGGCCACACCCTAACTTGCCTGGGCAACAAAGGCAGGCCTATTATGGGACATGATTATCTTGGCCATCCCAAACCTTAGGATGATTTTTTTTTTTCTGATCTTCTTAGCCATTACATTGGGTGTCTCAATCTTGGTCAATGTATGATGGCTATCTTCTTTGGCAAATGCGTGGCCTCCTGGAGGCTCAAAATTTCTGCAGATGTCAACAGTCCTTTTTGTCTGTATATTGCTTTATATATATATATATATATATATATATAGGTGAGGGCAAAAGCATACCTGCTGTTAGTATAGACGTTTCCTCTGCCATCTGTAGAGCTTGTATCAAAGCCACAAGTTCAGCGTTCTGGTCGGGCCACCATCCCTGAAGGGAGGCTACTGGCCCAGATCATTTGCTTCCTGTCCACCAATGTTGCCCCCGCCTTCCGCTTACCTTCGGTCTTCTGTACCTGCTTAGCTCGGACCGCCAGCCTTGTACCCCTGGCAAGCTTCACCCTCATTTTCGGCTCTGCCTGGCACAGCTTAGCCTGCCATTTTGCCATTCGCCTGTCCTTTAGGCAGATGCTGGTAGGATCCATAGTCCATCGACGTCAGCCCAGCACAGGAGCAGTAGTCTGGCACAGGAGGGCACCTGTGGTAGCATGGTGACTGCTGTATCGCAGTCTGACATGGGTGAGGGGAGCAAGACTGTAGAGTGAGCAGTCAGGGCTCATGCAGGCTTTAGAGCAAGCACAGCATCAAGGCAGTTGCTAGGAGGTGAGGATTTCTTCAGCGGTGAAGGCAGGAGAGGTGGTCGTCCTGGTGAGGAGGGCGTGGTAGAGACAGAGGCAGACAAGCAGCCTGTGTCTCCTGCAGAACTGAAAACAGCAGCGAAAGCAAAAGTCCCTCGTTTGGTCAACAAAAGGCTTTGGTCATACATTCAGAAGTGACCAGGGAGGAACGAGTCATTTATTTGTCTTTTTCCCAAATTTATAGTTCGTAAGGTGTCCAGTTTGTATTCTTTACTCAGTTCCAGTGTCCCTCTTTATCTGTCTTTGATCTTCTGTTGCCCAGGCTCCTAATCTGTCTGAGTCCTATCTTTTTTTTGCTTCCCGCCTCTCTCTCTCTCTCTCTCTCTCTCTCTCTCTCTCTCTCTTTTTTCTTTCTCTTTCTCTCTCTCTTTTTCTCTCTCTCTCTCTTTCTCTCTTTTTCTTTCTCTCTTTCTCTTTCTCTCTCTCTCTTTTTTTTTTCTTTCTCTTTCTCTCTCTCTTTTTCTCTCTCTCTCTCTTTTTTTTGTGGCTACTGCTGTCTGCTGACCTTCAGAGGTTGGGTAAAATGCCTGTAAACTTTCATTAATCATTTAAGGAACACAGATTTTAACTGGCCCCTGGAGAACCTCTCTTATCTCGGCCGAATTAGTGGGGTGCCTTGCAGCCCCCGCCTGAGATTTGCCATGAGCCCAGCATTTTGACTGTCAGTTTCTCCCTTTAGAAGAATGAAGATAGATCCATATTTTTTCTATGCACAAAACTGAAATCCAAACAAATTAAAGACCTTAACATAAACCCAACAATATTGAACCTTTTATAGAAGGAAAAAAGTTTAAAATTTATTTTAGCAAAGGATATAATCAACAGAACGTAATATCAACCTGTAGAATGGGGAGGTATCATGAGACATATAAGGAACTTAGGAACTTAATCCTCATTAGTACAATTACGTCACAGACCAAAACTGTAAATTCTCAACAAATGAACTTGAAGTGACTGAAAGATATTTAAAATTTGTTTAAATATAACATCCTTAATCATCAGGGAAATGCAAATTAAACAATTTTGAGATTTTATCTTATTCTTGTAAAACTGACCAAGATTAAAAATATCATTTGACAATTTATGCTTACAGCTACTTTGAACATTAGCATGGTGGACTTTCAAAATTAGATAACATATTACCTTAAAAACTTAGCGACATCCTTTATATTATCATTGACAGAATCTGAAAACAACTCAAAATGCACCTTTTTTATATTAATAATAAATGAGAATCTTCGCCATGTTTTTTTTTTAATAGCCATAAACATTATAAAGAGTCAAAAGGACCATTTTAACTCAACCTCATCATTTAGTAACACCCCCTTTGCCATTGTAGTGGGGTGAGAGGCTTTAGCAGATCTTTGTCTTGTGGGGCAACTCAGGGCCCCCACCTTATCACAAGCATTGTGAGCAGACAAGTGTTAAATTCAGATCTAAACATGGGCTGGCTTAGAAGCTCAGCTGGGCTGTTCATATGGCCCCGGCCCTGTGCCAGGCCTTCTACAGCAATAGTTCTTGAAGACAGTGTAGTCCTGCATCCATCTAAACAGAACTGGGAATTTACTTTTCTTCTAGACACACTGCATAGTAGTTTTTTTTTTTATCACAAGCATATTATTTTAAAGTGACTTAATTTAATTTTCCCAATTTTTAAACCAGAGGCTTTTACCTGGATGCAGCACATGATGACTGGTATAGAGCATCCCCAGAAGACAGATGTTATTAGGGCTGGCAGGCCCTTTTAATGTCAGCTTATTCCATTAGCTAC